TCTATAGAAGGAATGGCACTTTTTGATCCCCAAAAGTACCCCTCCTCCACGCGAATCCTCACGATCCAGTCGAATAATGTTAAAATCATAAAAAGGAAGATCAATATCTGAAGAGAGCCAAGTTTCACAAAGAGCAAATGCATCACACTCATTATTGTGAACTAAAAAATTAAAAGAGTCTAATTTAGGAATAAGACTTCGACAATTCCACTGTAGAATAGTGATCAAATATATGAAATTAATGACTTCAAAGAATTGATGTCTATTTCGTTTTTTTCAAACACTTCATGGTGAAACGAAACATTTTACTTCGAATAAATATACGCGCCTTCTGAAAATTAACAAATTAATGTCACAAATCTGTAGTGTTAAAATAAAAAAGTAATTTTCGCAAAATCAATTTAATTTATACTATTAGAAAAAAATACAGCTGTAATAAGTATTTCATATTTTTATGTTAATATGGTGTGAAACATGAATAAATTGAAAAATAAATTAATTATATTTATTTCCGGAGGATTGCATATGGCTGTCAGTCTTACCAACAGCATACTGATTATGTACATTGCGGGTCAAAATTTTCAGTACAATAATATTTCTCTCTAGATGTGGGTGTGTTTGTGTCTGTGATTATTTTTTGGTTTCATTCGATTCCGATCGGTTAGACTTTAGCATGAAGATGCGTTCTTAAAACTCAAAATTATGGTCAAAATAAATTTAATCATCAATGGGATGGTCAGTGCTCACTCTACATAATGTCTCCAGGTGCTTTTTCGGCACTCTAATGTGAGGTTCTCACTGTTGTGAGACGATCACCGAAAAGATGTTCTGACAGGCTGGTAGAAGCCGCACCGTCGTTATATCAGTGGGTGCCCAAAACACACCTACCAGCACCCTATTTCATTAATAGTCCAACCGTAAGCCACAATAACTAAGGGCTAATATGCTTGTGTATGGGCCTAGCTTTGATTGATTCGTTTTCACTTTTTTATGCTGCCTACTAAAAGATGTTGGCGTACCAGTCCCTTGTGAAAATCTAATTTGAAGAAGTATTTTATGGACCTAGGGTGGGTGAGCCAGTACACCTACCCTATACATACGGATTCCGAAGAACTCGAATGACTGCCAGAAATATGAAACAACAATTCAATTCCAAATAAAGATACCAGCTATCTGCTGTGTAGCATCAACTTCCAGTTACTACACAAATGCATGATTTTTGACCCTTTGATCGATCATAACACACTATCCAATAATTAGCGTAACTTCAAACATCCAGGATTCAAACTTCTAGTTTATACCGCTCTGGCTGACCGAATATAGTAGCTTTACATAGACTAAATTTATCATTTTTGATCAGACTGAGTGACACCAGCTGTGGAAGTGTAAATCCGTCGATTACACAAACCGTAAGATTTCAAGCCATCACTCACTCATCTTGAAAAAATACCTTGTGCTTATAATGGAAAGCCTTGAATTCAAATTCCTATAAAGTACAAATCAAAGCCTTTACTTGAACAATATTATACCATAAGCAAATAGAGTCGACTTCTTTGAGTTCTTTAATATCCTGCACCTATAACAAATCAAAACACTCCCACATAATCATTGTCTAGTACATAATTCTTAATTGAATTGTTCATAAATTTTCCAAACATTAACATTCCTCATTATAGCAAGAAAAATTTGGCCGGTAGTATACATTTCATCCAGATATAATCCAACTCACTGAACTGTTGCAAAAATGTTAAATAGTACGATGTAGCTATTTTTCAAGACATCATGAAAAGTTAACAACAAGTAATTTTTACGTTACAAATGAGTGGAAATTAAAATTAAATATCCTCATTAAACTGCAACAACACCGCAACGGTTTGTTAACATATCTGTACCATTGGATATTATCGATGATATCCATGTTCCAGTAATGATGAAAATAAGTAGCAAATGCGTAGTTTCAACAATCATAGAATTAGTTGAGTATGTGCGTGCTTTAAACGTCACTTGTCAGTAGTAATGCAGCATCGAGTTGTAGCGGCATCGTTTTGGCATTAGGAGCCAATAGTTCTAGTATCAGCTCAATATCAAAATTTACAACAGCTCCAGCAACAATCGATCCAACGTCGTCTCAAGATTCTCACCGTTCTTTATGGCGCTTTGGAACACCCTCTCAACTGACTATGGCCACGCCAGCCGCTGTTCGCGGAAAAATTGTCGGAGCGGCTGTAACATCACCTCCACCGGCGTTCAACTTTTCCGCTGATTATGATGCTGCTAGCGGGGGACTTGCCGCATTTCTGCTGGTGCAAATCTTATAGCTGCAATCGGGGATCTCTTCGGAATGCCCAACGGAGCCGGTGGTATTTTGCATAGGAACTGGAGGGGGTGAAACTGTGTCACTCAGACCCGGATTGAAAAGGTTCTTTATTATTGGGGCTCAAATAAATTTCGACCTTGCTTCTGTGGCTATCGTTTTTGTCTAAGTTCGTATCGTCGTTAGTCACCATCGTCCTCCGTCGTCCGTAATCCTATCGTCCTCGTCGTAGTCTTCCTCACCATGGTTATTTGTTAGATTGATTTTCTATGCAGATGTTAGCACATGAATTACGATTTCTCCACTTTTTCCAATGTAGTCCAAAAGTGTTTTACAACCAGGCTTGCAATTGCTCATTACAGCTAAAATGCTAGTTTTCGTAATTATGAAACTATGGGATACTATAATGATAATTTTCATTTATAAGAAGTAAGAAGAGGTGGTAAAGTTTGTGTATGACATATAAAATTTGTCAATTTTGCTTTCAGAAGGTCACAACTAGCGATTTTATGACCGCTGATTGCTCGCTAATCGCGTTGCTCATCGTTACAGCTCCAGGTAGAAGTGGGCTGCGACGACGTCAGATGCTTTAACATTTGTATTTCTGTGTTTTGACTTCTATGTTGCACTGAATTTTCCGAGAGAATTCCAAAAATTATGGCACTAAAACAGCTTCCACATGACGATCGAAAAAAATTGCGCACTTGTCCACATTGTGTTAACTACACTTGAAAATGAGAGGAATGTTTTACTGTCACCAGTTGCTGTTTAATATTCTACATTGCTGTATCATACTCTTCCGGTTGCTGTTATTCAACTTAAATTTGACGTGTTTCAAGTTAATGATCATACCTTTTGTCACACATATGCTTAAGTGGTCCAGTAGGTATGATTAATGCCTGTGAATCAGCGACTTCCGGTTCGAATCCCGAAATGCAAAGGTAATTTTAAGACTTATAATAACAATATAAATATGTAAATCCAATTAGTTAGTCAGCACCTTGTTGCAGTCCCATAAAAAATATAAGATATGAAGCGGTCTTCAATTGTTGAAAAAGACTGTTATTTGATGCCTTAAAAAGCTTATAAATTATATAATTGTTAAGCTTTTGGCTGATTAAAATCAACAGATTTAAATGTTTAAAAGCTGAACAAAGGTTAACGTGCACACTACGAACGAGTAATGTAAATTTCCGTGCACTGAGACCGACACATGCGGCCAAAATGACACAAGAATCAGTTGAAAGAAACGAGAAAATCAACTCAATCAAGCGTACTTTTCGTCGTGTTGCGTATGTTTCGGTTAGGGAACACTTAATTTTACATGACATGTTTGTTTATGTCAAAGATGGATTACGTCTCGTTTAAAAATAGTTATTTCTAAGTGTGTGGCCTATGTACAACAATTATTCAAACTAAGGCTGAATCAAAATTAAATTCAGTGTTCACTCGGCTGTCGACAAAAGCAGGCCACTCTCGATGTGTGCTACTCGATTGTCTGTTTTTTCGGCAGCAACCATTGTGTGGTCCTCCTCATTGTTCTTCATCAGCAGTTCTTTCGGTCGATGCGTCGTCGACTTTGGAAAGCAACCGTTTCGTGATGAGTGTGTGAGTGCTGACCACGTTTTGTGTCCATTGCTGCAATGGACGCGCTCTGACCCTCGTTGGCGTACAACAATTCGCCATACAATGAAACTACTGGAAGCGGCTCCAGTTCTGATGGAGGAGGCTTTTTGGATAGCGGAAGATAAAGTGTTTATTGTGTTGTACCTTTTGACTATAGTTTTAAGATGTATTGTATAGTGACCAAGAATCCTCGGCTCTGTAAAGTTAATTCGGTTGAGCCTTATCAAATAAATTAATAAACAACAACAAAATTAAATTGTTACCTGGGTAGTTACGTTTCGAAAAACGAGATCTGTCCATACTGACATTACATTACATTAGGAAAGGTTGGAATCACTTTGGAAAAGATAAGAATTACTTCAGAAAGTACTGAATAAGTTGAGAAAAGCTTAAGATTACATTGGAAAGTACTGGACCATTTCTGAAAACAAAATAGCTCGTACAGAATAACTTCGAACAGTACTGAACTTTACAAAAGTTTTAAATCACTTCGGAAAAATTGGAAACACTGGTTCCGTGTATTCAGCACATACCATATTTAATAACATCAGAAAAGCGTGAGTTCAGTAGGGAAAATGTTGAATCGCTCAAAGATAGACTGTTCAAGTCTCCGCGTCCATCGTACGGGTTAGGCAAAAGATGTGTGTTTGACTTGATACTGTCGCATTAATGGCCCATCGCTCATTTTCAACTTCTATTCAATTTTTATACTGCCGTACTCTAACGGAACTATCCACCTACCCTCTTCTAAAGACCATTCTCTAGCTAATAAATTATCACACTAAAGCTTCATATTAGCATTTCCAACCAACTCTAATTCTGAAGGTTCGATCAAGGAAATTTGGAGGAGTTTTTCTTGAACATTCGCCAAAGAGCTATGGAGATAAATTCAAATGAATCGTTACGAGAATTATGAAAAATTTAGTGAGAATCCTGGTTCAATTATGACTGTATGCCTTCTGAAAACAGATTTGAATTTGCATTCTAAATGCTCAGCAAAATTGCTGATGATCATTCGAAGCCAACGTACCAGATGAAAATGAATGGTCGACCATCTATAATATTGGTATAAATTTATTCATCAAATATGCATCTAGAATACGTTTCTCTAACACTGAATGCAAAACAAATCGCAGCCTACCGCGATCAAATCGGTTGTGTTTCCCGCTCCAACCAGGCCAACGTTTCGGCGTCGCCGGCCTTCTTCAGCAGCGGTGCGAGCGTTTCCCATACCGTTTTGTGGTACTTGTTTATACTGCCACGTTCCTTCTCAGTCAGCAGCTTAACATCGATCAGCTTCGTTTGAATCGGACACATTGTCACCGTGTGGAACGTCAGCGCACCACGGCCGTCGAAGTTATCGCCGATGTTGGTGGACACCACCTGGACGATGTCCTCAATGCGGATGCCGAATTTTCCCTCCTTGTAGTAGCCGGGTTCTGAAAATTGGAATTTTTGTCGCTTAAGCTAACGCTCGAAGAGGACAGCTGCCTGCATTCTTACCATTGGAAAGGAACATATTTTCCTCTAGGCCGGGATCATCGGGCATCAGACGGATGCCGATTCCCATCGGTCCCTCATGTACGTTTAAAAAGTGCCCGATACCATGCCCGGTCCCGTGCCCGTAGTCCAGTCCGGCATCCCACAGCGCTTTGCGTGCGATCGTATCCAGAAATTGTCCCTTGACCTTCCGGGGGAAGACGGCCGTTCCCAGCGCAATCTGGCCCTTGAGCACATGGGTAAATGCTGTAATCTCCTGCTCGGTAGGAGTTCCGAAATGCATAGTTCTGGTTACGTCCGTCGTGCCGTCCCTGAAAATTTGGTTCATTATTGTGCTCAAATTTTGAACTACTCAGCGAATCTTACAAAAACTGCGCTCCCGAGTCGCACAGGTACATTTCCTTGTTGGAAATCGGTCGGTTCGTATCCGGCAGGGGATGGTAATGGATTACCGAACCGTTCGGTCCCGAGGCACTGATGGTCGTGAAGCTCAAGCCCATGTACTTTTCCTGCTTGCTGCGGAGCTGTTCCAGCTGATCAGCTCCACTGATCTCGTCAACCGATTTACCCTCCTTGATGGATCGCTCCAGCCAGGCAAAGTACTGACACAGAGCCACTCCATCCCGGACGTGACATTCGCGCATACCCTTAGCTTCCACGTCGTTCTTGACGGCCTTCATCAGGTTGATCGGTGTTATTTCGTGCAGCCGTTTCTCCTCCGGGATTAAGGCCGTCAAGGCGTAGCTGGAACCCAAGCTGATCCAAACCCGATGGGATGAGGACTCGGCAAGAGACTTCAGCACTTGGTGGACATCTCCGTAGGGACGAATCTTCGGTTGAACTTCGTTCGTTCGGAAGTGATCGTGAATGGCGCCGGAGAGTTTGCTCTCGTCGATGAAGAAGAACAGATCGTCCAGGGTGACCAATACGTACGAAAAGAAAACGGGGTTGTAGTCAATATCCGATCCGCGGAGATTGAGGAACCAGGCAATCTCGTCCAGAGCACTGACCACCAGTACGGAAGCTCGTTTGTCGGTCATCTTTTCGCGAACAGCAGCCAGCTTTTGGGCAACGGTTTGACCGGTGAAGTCCACGTTCAGGGGAATAATGGGGTTTTCCGGTGCAGCAGGTTGATCCTTCCACACCAGATCGATCAGGTTCGGTGAAATGGGAAGGAGGGAGCAACCGGCGGACTTCAGGGAGATATGCAGGGGGTTCCAGGCTCGAGTGGAGATGAGATTGGCGTCAACTCCAACCTTTGATCCCGGTTCGAGAACCTTCGCGAGGAACGCATCGATGGTAGGCGTCGCCGGTTGGCCATCCTTCATGAGGGTCCAGTTTTTGTCCAGTTGTTTGCCGGCTTGCTGGTAGTAGCGTCCGTCGGTCCACAGGAGGGCTTCCTTCTCGGTGACCACGGCGGTTCCAGCACTGCCGTCGAATCCGGATATGAAGACACGACGTTCGTCTCGCTTGGCCAGATACTCACTTTGGTGGGCATCGTCCGAGGGAATGATGTAAGCGTTGATCGATCCGAGATTGTTCGGGAGGTTCCGCATCAACGTTCGCAGGGCGGCCAGCACTTCGCCGGTCGGCTTCATCTTGTTGCTGGGGATGGTAGGGGGTTGATAAAATATTAGTTTATTGGTCGATTGCGTCCGTTGGAAGTAGGTAAGTACTCATTGCCCATCGTTTCGCAGCTCAGTCGGTCGTTAACTGAACGAGGACAGGTGATTCAAACTGAACTATTCCAAAGACCACCACCAGCCAATGATGGATTACAGTGAATTGTTTCGTTTTATCTTATCTGTGCTGGTTGATTGGTGGTGAAATATGAGGAGTCGTCGACGTCGCCACTTGCGAGAGCGACAATGAGTGAGGCTCGTATTAATTGCCAATTAAAGGGATAGATAGGGTCGACTCACCTCAGTAGGCGCTGCAGTTTGCTGCTCGGGAGCGAATTTGACAGTTGAAAGCGATGATGATGGTGGGTGCTGCAATGGTGACGGTTTCTAGGTCGATAAAAGTGGTGGCTTAACGATAAATTCGGTTGCTTCGATCGCGGCAGTGCACGTAATGACTTGTGCTATTTAGCCTTTTTCCGTTTGTGTTTTGATCTGACGGACGGGTGACAGAACAGTGTAGGTTTGCAGTATAGAGGATATAAATTGGCAAATGTAAGGTGGTGTTGGAAGGGTGAAATGTGAAATAATGTGTTTGCAAATATATACCAATGAGATCAGGTTGATTGCTTAGTGGTGGTGGTGGTGGTGAAATACGGTAGAACTGCACATTTCCGCCTTTGTGAAGTGAATTTCCAATAAGAAACGTTATAGAAAAATGTATACCGGTGATTTTTGTTGCAGTCAATCTGTCAATTCTGTCAATTCTGTCAATCCAGTCAATTCTGTCAATTCACTGTCGAATGCAATAGAATTATTGATTGATACAGCCGGCACCGCTCTCACTACTCAGTTGAATCTCGAGAAAAGCCTTTCCGACTACAGCGGGCTCACCCACACACATTAGACTACGGGTAGAGGCGAAAGTAACAGACGTAATCTGCCGGTATGCTGTATTCCAATTTGGTTTGCCTGCCGAAAGTTCGTATCAAAACAAAACGGTGCTTGTTTTGGTTGATTTCGTTTTTGACAGTTTTTCTCCTTCTAGGTGGTGTGCATGTGTGTGTGAGTGAAATGAAGATGCGTTGTCAGTGTGATTGAATTGAACAAATTTTCCAAAACCGATTGTCGTGAAAAGTGCTGCCTTTTCGAAAAATTTAGAGCTGCTTCTGATCATTGGAAAACTGTTACAGAAGTTCATTCAACATTTTTTCCTCAATATTTGCAGAGCGATAAATGCCAAATTTAGGCTGGTTTATGACAGATTCATCCTGACAAATGACAACGTAAGCAATTGGCAACACTATCCGAATAAACTGCAGTCAACTGAAGCAAGTAATCCTTTGTGCATCCAAGCTTGTTTACTGTCGCTTGAGAAAAAGTAGATTTTTCATCCTCCGACCCGAGTAAGCCATGTAAATTGAACTGGCATTCGCTAATTTCAATCACCCGACAGAGATTGCTGTGGAATATAATAGAGGTAAGTTCCGTTCCGAAGTGTCACCAATTGGGGTGTGCCTTATGTTTTCAAAATTTTGCCAATGGCTGCTGCTTCGATTGGAAAGATTTTGCCATAGATGGCCTTGTTGTTCGCACGGCACCTGTTTCGTTTGCAAAGCCAACTAGATTGCCACTGTTTTCGCCACTCTCTAGCACCTCCTTCTCCTTGGTTTGATTTTTGTGTTTTTCTGCTCGGGGAAAATGCATATGTCATCATTTCCAGATCATCCAGATGCACTTTAGGTTTTTCGAAATTTGATGCATTCTATCGCTCTTATTCCGCAGATTTACGCAAATATGGCAAACCAAGGCAAAGGAGGATCGCCGTCGCCGCTAGAGTACACCGGTCGCTCGACGAGTGATCGGAAGCAGTTTCTAGTGAATAATGAGTTCATGTCGGACGTGGTGTTCCTGGTGGGCGAAAAGAAGGAGCGGATCTATGCGCACAAACTGTTTCTGATTGCAAACTCGGAGTACTTTTACGTCATGTTCAATGGGAGCTTTAAGGAATCGAGTCAGAGTGAAATTGTGATGAACGACGTCGAGCCGAAGATCTTTCTGGAGATCTTACGGTTCGTGTACTGTGGAAAGATCGAATTGACGTTCAACAATATCCACGAGATTTACATCCATTCGAGGAAGTACATGCTGATGGAACTGTTGACCATGGCTTCCAACTTCCTGGAGAAGAGCATCGAGCCGAACAATGTGTTGAAGATCTTCACGCAGAACCGGTTCTACGGGTTTCAGTTTGTCGATGAAAAGTGCTTGAGGCTAATCAGGACGAATCCGTTGTTTTATTTTAATCATGAGGATTTTTCACTGATTGATCGGGAGTCACTGTGTTTGATCCTCGGTTCGAAGAAGATCAACTGCACGGACGATCAGCTGATGGGGGCGTTGGATATCTGGGAGAAGGGCCACCAGACGGAGAACGTGGACGAGCTGAAGGCGATCATAAAGGATGCCAAAAGATCGTACGATTGCTACAAGCTGCGGTTATTTGGCCCTTCCTCCGGATCCGAACCGAACGATTTTGGGTTCTCGATCGTTTCGGAAACGATCGTAAATTTGTACGGGATCGGTGTGTTCTTCAAGTCCGCGGCGAAAGTCATCGCGATTGAGGTGAAGATCTGGGAGAATGACATCGAGATTGGCTGTGATCTGTTCGAGTACGAGAATGACAACTTTGTGACCGTGGACGTGGCGAATCTGTTCTTCGAGGAAATTGTCCTGATACCGCACCATCGGTACAAGATCTCCCTCAACATAACGCCCGCGGTGGAACCGTTCACCATTCAAAATCCGAAGATTCACCACGATCGGATCAAGATGTCGATCGCGAACGTCATCTACGGACGCTGTGATAGTACGTACAGTGCGATCGCTCACATGCACTGTCGGGAACGAACCGGCAAAACCCTCGGGTGAATCGACGGAAATCGATCTGATGATATAGGCTTCTCATTAAACTAGATGAATTATCATTCGTTGATTGCGGTTTTTAGACTAAGTAGGCGTGTACTTAGTGGCGTTGGAAACGTTCAAATAAATCAATCAAAGCAGTCTCTGTCAGAATGGATGAGTTTTATTGGAAACGAGGCCGAAATTTGCTTGCATTTGCCCGGGAAACGAGCCCTATTCAATGATTCCTTTGTTTTCAATTTCAGCACTCCATCGAATGGACGCATTCAACATCACGAAAATGCTCACACTGGTCGATCAAAGCTTGCCTTCCTTGTCCTACTCGTTGGACTCGCCCGGCCACGAGGGTCTCAAGTATGACATCCCGTTCATGAAGCGTCAGGAAAGCCTCATCAATAACAAGTTCCAATCGGACGTGACATTCCTGGTGGGCGAGAAGCGTATGCCGATCTACGCTCACAAGCTGCTGTTGATCATCTCGTCCGAGTATTTCAATGCCATGTTCAACGGGAACTTCAAGGAGTCCAATTCGGAAGAGATCGAGGTCAGCGACGTGGAACCGGACATCTTTCTGGAGATTCTGCGGTTCATCTACTGCGGAAAGGTCCGTTTGACGATCGAGAACGTGCTGGAGATCTACGTCCACGCGCAGAAGTACATGCTGAACGAGTTGAGACGGAGGACGATTCGATTTCTGGAGAAGCACATCGATTCGGATAATGTGCTGAAGATCTTCGCCCAGAATCGGTTGTACGAGTTTTCCTTCATCAACGAAAAGTGCTTGGCGCTGATCCGGAAGAATCCGCTGACGTATTTTCACCAAGAGGACTTCTTTGTGCTGGATCGGAAGTCGCTGGAGATCATTTTTGCCAGCAAGAGGATCAACTGTTCGGACGAGCAGTTGTTTCAGGCCTTGCGCGACTGGAAGAAGCTCAACGAGAGTGAGTACGTCAGTGATCTGCAGACGGTGATCAGTGCGAAGCGATCGTACAACTGTGCGAAGCTGCGGTTTTTTGGGAACATGTCGATGGCGATGCATACGGATTTGAAGTTTTCCATCGACCACACGAGTAGTTTGGCGTTCTTCGGGATTGGGGTGTTTGTGAAGTCGCGGGACAGGGTGGTGGCGATCGAGGTGAAGATTTCGGAGAATCTGGAGATTTTGGGTCGGCATCGGTTTGATTATGAGAACAAGGACAGCGCTTCGGTGAATGTGGCGAATTTGTTCTTCGAGGAGCTGACGCTGCGACCGGACGAATGGTACACGATATCGGTCAAGTTTAGCCCAAGCGGTGAGTGTTTTACGATTACGAATCCCCAGATCTGTCATGACAAGCTGAGACTGTACTTTGATAACAATTACAGCACGATGAGGAGTGTTGTTTCGCACTTTTTCTGTGAGGAAATAAAGAAATAAAAGTAGGCACTGGAATCATGATGGCCGTGATTGGTTTGAAAGAACGAATCCAACTGTCACGTCAAGTGGCGACGAGGACGATGATGGCAATGCATCACCCCTCGTTCGACAAAAGGCCTACCAGGGCTCTTATCATGTCGTTTCTGAGTGTGTGAGGCAAGTGTCAAAATCACGTGGAACATTGGAATATCCGTACGATTGTCCAGTATCACACGCACACCTTTAAGAATGCAATCGCCGCAGTATTGACCTATCTCCACTGGCAGTTTCCTTTGGAGCAGCAACGGTTCTGATTGAAGTGTGCCATTTTTGCGAACAACCCACCACCACCACCAATCGGTTCCCCAGTCAGAGCATACTGCGGTGCCCACTTCCTTGCTTTCTACTGCTGTCAGTCACATGCAGTTTGTTTTCATTGTTCGTTCCAGTCTGACGTGTTTTGTCTGTGCGATCAAGCGGTGCTCGGTGGTGCTGCACGAGTGAGTGACCAAGTGACTAATAAAATAACATAGCAGTGAAGTGACTCAGTATACCTAGTGTTGCACGAATTCTTCGTAGACCCACATAGATAAGCTGGTTGGCGTCAACGAGAGGCTTCCAACCAAAGTGCAGTGAACAAGAAGGCATACCTAATACCTTGGAAGGAAAACTTTATTATTGTTTGCTCTTAGAGTGAGATAAGTCGCTCAAGTGCATTTGAGTGGCCGGGAGCGTGCGCGCGCAATTCCAAATCTTCCATCGAAACACGCGGAGATATTGTAAATCATCAGCTGGCTCGGTCTTGTCACTGTCGCGAAATTTCGGAGGTTGTAAATTCTACGGGCAGTGATAATCTATCTGTGCGGTGTCTGTTTGCCCGGTTCATTATCAGCTCTGCCTCTGGAGGTCGGTAGCCTATAACCGAGTGGGATAATCTCCTTTCGGGCATAGTCGTGTTATCACGGTTGACGGCAGCGTTTGTGTACGTACTGTATTGTGTTGCGTTTGGTGGAGTGGAGATCTTCTCGAATGATGGCCGGCGAAGTGACGCGGATAGATCTAACCGTTGATGAGAACGATGTGATCCGGGGTGCTGGCGAGGTGCTAAAGGTTATCAGGCCACATTGGCAAAGTAGCAGCGTGCGCTTCAAGGTGGGTAGCGAAGTTTGTGGATCGCAGGGCTTGGCTGGAGTTTATAGCCTACTAATGAGATAGATTACTCTGGGTAAATGTAAGCTCGTTAGGCAGTTGATAAAGCAATGGCAGCAATTTGTAGCAATGAAATCACCACACGATATTTGTCGCTATTATTGGAATGGGGTGGATAGTTTTTATAGGCTAGCTTACCTGACAGTATCGTTATCAACTTCATTAACAAATTTTTTCAGAAAAATTCGCTGCGAAATCAGAAGAAATTGAAGATTATATCACGTGGCTATATATACAGAATGATTGTCATCAAACAACGATATCGGGTGATGAAAGATGCCAAGGAATTGTGACCAGTCTCTGTGATAAATCGCCTCACACGCAGCTTGACATTTTTGTCATCCACGAAACTGTTTCTCTGTACACTTAGAACATCGGGAAAAAATCTGGATTCTGGAATTCTCAAGAGTGGACTAGATTTTCAGGGGATATAGTCACTTTGAAGAACTATTTAGAATTTTGAGCAGATTTTAATTCTAGAGATAATACCAAGGTAGTTTAGGCTGTGTACCATTTGGTGAATTTTCACTTACATTTGACACTTCGAAAATAAATTATAATTTTCAAAAATCCCCCGGTTGATGATCTTCCGATTTTCGAGAAGATATTTGGCAAAATTTGATTCCTGGTCTGTCAGACGTTAGTCTGGTACAATAGCTGGTTTATTTAAAAATTTCAATCAGTCAAATTTAAGTGAAAATTCACCAAATGGAACACAACCTTCGAGTTAACAGTCAACTCTCCATAACTCGATATTGAAGGGACCATCGAGCTATAGAATTATCGATTTTTATGTCAGCTAAAATTTCAAGAATAATACCGAAATTTTAATTAAATTCAAAAAATGGTTCAAAAATCCATTTATGAAGGTTCTGAGCAGTTAATTTATAATATTAATCAAATTTTCACAAAAATCGCAATAGGGCTGCCAGCTCTTGAAGTTCAATTTGTCAGGTTCTGGCCATTTCTGGATGTGGCACTATCGCCCTGAGCGTGCCATTAGGCCAAATGGTCTTTAGCCCGAACTTCAATAAATTTTGGCGAGCTTCCTTACAAAGTAGTTATGTTTTTAAGATTTTCGAGCGCTTAGATATTGGACGACTAGAATTTCTCCTTGTTCGGAATATTTTAAAATGCGCTACATGAGTCTTGAAGATTTTTCTTGCTCCAGGATCATACAATTTTCTCAACGTGAAATGTCAAAATGTATGATTTTTTTATTTAATCCTGGATCTTGAATCCCTCTTTTTGTTAAATACTTTGAAAAATATCTGTCTTGGCTTTGGAAATATTTCCAGGATTTCTTCAGTATTTACTGAAGAATTTGCTTGAATTATCTCAGAATACCCTTAGCGTTTATTTTAGTCCTCTTCTGTTATTTTATTATAATTTGCTCCATAATACCCTTTAAATTCAATCTGCAATGCTCTTCAAATTATTAAAAATCTATGGAATTCCCAAAAGATTTCTCCGGGAAATTCACTTGGAGTTCTTCTCAGCATTCACCTTGTATTATACAGAAATTCCTATGGAACTTTTCAAGAAATTCCTTTTAAGTTTTGCCCAGGACTCCCATAAATTATTTGAAAAACCAGAACCCTTAAGATATTCCGAGAATTACAGGGAAGCACAGAGACCTTCAGGGATTTTACGAAAACTTAAGAATTATCAGAGAATTTCAGGAATATTTAAAGGTATTTACGAGAATTCCAATTGAAAACTTCAGAGAAGCTCCGAAAGCATCAATACAGATCTGAGAATCAAAGGGAAATTCAAATAATTTCAAGGAAATGACAGAATCCTTCAAGAAGTTTCGAGAAACTCTTGGAATTCTCGAAAACTTCAGCAAAGCTCCAAAGAATTTTCGGGACGCAATAAAAATTACATGAACATCCGGTAAATGTGAGTATTTTAAGGGTGTTATATCACAGAAATTTCAAGAACTGATTGGCGAACATCAACAAAGTCTTGTTAATTAAAAAAAGCGAGAAATTTTAGCAAGCACCGATATTTTCAAGATATTTAAGAGAACTTCTAAGAAAATAAGATATTTTTAGATACTGTCATGATATTCAACGAAGTTCCGAGTACTTCGAGGACGATCAGATAACTTCAGAACGCTCCCATTATCTTAAGGAAATTTGCAGCGACTTAATAGGAGTTTTGAATTTTATAATTGATTTTATAAGTCCAGAAGTCTCAGGGTATTATGAATATATATCAGAAAATTTTCCGGAACATTAAACAATTTTTGAGAACCTGTGGTAAGCATAGAAAACTTTAGGGATGTCCAGATAAATTTGCGGGAAAATTAATTATTTATGGCAAAGTTCTGTCAAGGATTCAATTAATTTCATTAAAATTACAGGTTCCTATAATAAAATCTGACAAATTTGGGAAATTTAAGGAAATTCAGAAAGCTATTGGGCAGTTATGAATTAGTGTCGATAATTTAAGAGCAGCTCCATGAACTTCAGAAAAATTTTGAGAACTTCAGTGAAAATCATAGAATTACCTTAAGTAATTATTTCGTTTTGATTCTAAAAAAAATTGCGGCATCTTAAGAAGTTCCATACATTTCGAGAACTTTATAGAAGTGTATCTGAGATCTTCAGGAACTTTCATGAACTTTAGCAAAATGCGGGGGCATTTGAAAGAAGCTCAGTAAGCTCCACAAATAGAGGGAATTTCAATTGTAGAAAATGAGCGGGAAATTTTAAGCAGTTCCCAGATTTTAAGAGAACCTCAGAATGTAAAAGAAAAATTGAGGTCTCTACGTAAGTTCAGAAGTGCACGGAAGCTTAAACATTTTTAAGGTAGTTCAATTAAGTTCAGGGCAGTACAAATAGCTTCTTGAGAATTGCTTAAACTTTAGAGAAGTTTCGAGAACTTCAGGAAAGAACCTAGAACCTCAGAGCAGTTCCGTTAACGTTAAATAAATTACATACATTCAGGAGGCGAACCAGCCTCAGGCTGAAAGCCTACTTAATAAAGAAAACTTAACGTAACTTAATTACATACCGTATGCGTGATAATGTTTGCGCCATCGTACAAATAAGGTTCTCGTTTCACCTGTGCATACTGGAGTGGCCAGAGCCGAAGAAAATACGGAAAACCCGTGAAATCACGATCTGAAGGACGAGTAACAAAAAAAGCGTGCGAATCACTTCACCGATTATTCAATTGATTTTTATTATTCCAATTCAATACATTTGAAGTTGGTTGTAGGAAAGAGAATACAGTATATGTAAAGAAAAGAGACAAACTTATCGATCATTAACCACTAAAGGGGATGCTGCAGGGGATAACTGTTCACATCTTAGTTGGAAGGGGAACGTCCAGAGATTTCGCATGAACATAATCCGCCCACCAAATTCCCTATGGGAATTTCCGATCGAAGTCTTCTTGGAACATACTCATCCTGATCCAATGGTATGGCTCTTATCTTCCTGACATCGCGACGAGTAGTACCAGATGCTGTTCGGACTGATTGCTCCATCTGCTCCTGGGAAGGTTTCGATGATTCTACCCGTAGGCCATTGCTTTGGCTTCGAATTGTCGTCCACTAGTAGAACGAAGTCGCCGACCGGAACGTTGTGAGATGAACGTTGCCACTTTGCCATCGGCTACAGAGATCGCACGTATTCTGTCTGCCATCTAGTGCGAAATTCTTGCGAGAGACGCTGAACGAACTGCCAGCGTGACATCGAGCTAATTTGCCGCTCCAGCAAGTTGACTTCAGGAACGGTGGTGAGTGCACGACCGATGAGAAGGTGAGCAGGAGTGAGAGGTTGAGCATCAATAGGGCTATTGGAGATCGGTGTAAGGGGCCTCTCGTTGATGGTGGCAGCAATTTGAGCTATCAGCGTGGACAGTTCTTCGAAGGTAAAGATGTAACTACTGGTGATCTTCGACAAATGCTGCTTAGCAACCTTGTTCGCTGACTCCCATAATCCTCCATGGTGTGGAGACCGAGCTGGAATGAAGTTCCCTTGTCGGTTAGAAAGTCGACCACTTCATCGTTGTGTACAGAAGAGTTGAGTTGCGCGTACATTTCTCGAAGGTGCTTAGCTGTTGCTCGGAAGTTCGTTGCGTTGTCCGAGAACATTTTCGCTGGCAAACCGTAGCGGCTGGAAAATCGAGTGAATGCCGCTAAGAACGCTGCAGTAGTAAGCTCAGACAGCAAACAAAGAGTGCGATGTAGCCCTTGCTTTGTTTCGCACATCTGGTCCTACGTCCAACAATGCTGACTGGACCGGCATAGTCCACACCAGTAATCGCAAATGGTGGATTTGGTTGAACTCGATCAGATGGCAGCTGACCCATTTGTTGATGCGTTGGGACTGGCTTAGCACGTGCACACGTCACACACTGACGATAAGCCTTCCTTGCTGCACTTGCACCACTAATTATCCAAAATCTCCTTCGGAATACGGCTAGCAGTGTTTGTGGCCCGCAGTGGTGATGGACGATGTGGTCATTATTTAACAGATAAGATGTGAGGATAGAATGGCGAGGTATCAATATAGGAAGTCGAACGTCATAGCTGAGACTTGACTGTTGTAGTCTTCCGCCCACCCTGAGCATACCCTCTTCGTCCAGGAATGGCTTGAGTTGGTGCAAACTGCTGTGCGAACTAACTTCTCCTTGCTGCCGCAAACGATCCAGCTCTTCACGAAAGTGCTGTTGCTGAACGTGGCGAATGTAAACTGTTTGGGCTCGATCAAGCTCCCGTGGTAACAGACGAGGAATCGATCGAGAGTCAGGAGACCTCAATCGAAGAATACGAGCAGTGACCCGAAGCAGCATCGTGAGATCGGGATAATATCGTGCCATCATTCCATCGAGAAAGTCATTTTCATAGAGAGTGATGAAAGAAACGGCTACTGCACCAGCTCTTTGCTCCCTATCAATGTGCTGTTGGTCAGTGTTGGTCAGTGTAG